CGCCCCCTGCTTTGCTCCTGGAGTTTCAAGCGATCATGATTCAGGGGGCTGCGAGGCACGTGCGTAATTTGCCAATCCAGAAGCACCCTGGCGGGCCGCGCGCCAAGTTCGTTGTGCTGATGTGCGTCGCGAGGGCTGTCTGCCGCGAGGGCAGCGTTTTCTTTCGCAGGGTGATTTCTTCTCATCCCCATGGGTAGCTGCCGCTTGGAGCTGGGCCCCTTTTCCCGGGGGGCGGCCCTAAATGCCCCGGGCGAATGCGTCTTGGAATCGCGCCGGGTGCATGGGCGGGCGGCGGGCAAGGTGGAGGGGCGGGTGCGATGGGCCCTAGGGGCCGCGACGCGCGACGCTGGAAGGCCCAGGCCCCGCGGGCGTTTTAAGGGGGGATTGCTCGTGCACGGCTGCGGTTGCCCTCTGGCCGCAGGATGGCGCTCGCCGCCGTTCGACGCGCGGGTGGGGTCAGCAGTTCGCCTGAACAAGTGTGATCTGATCGCTGGATCCCGGGAGGGGGTCTTTACTCGTGAAGATGTTGATTCGCTTGCTGCTGGTGCTTGCGTTGATCGCTTCGCCCCTTCTCACCCCGGGCTGGCTCGACCCCCCCCCCCCCGCGGTTCAGTCTGTTACTAAAGCTCTTGGGCGGGCCCGGCGCGGTTCCCCAGGTCCTGGCGGGGCCCCGCGCGCCAGGTTGAGGCATCTTCCTTGCGGCGCCGAAATATTGGGTAAAGCTTTCTGGCGGGCCCACGGTCCACGGCGGGCGGCGTCTCTGGGGAATTCGCCGCCGCGCCCGAGGGGCCTGCGTCCGTCCCGGGGGGGCAGGGGGAGGGGGATCCCGAGGGCATGGCGCTTCGGGATGCGTCGCCTACTCGCCCTCTCGGGCATAAGAATGCATCCAGCAATGCGCGGGCGACGGTGGCGCGCTCGGTGCTCGGGCGAGCTCTCGGTGAACTCGTTCGCCCCATCCAAAGGGGCTTCGCCTCTGGCAGAAACTTCGGGGTCGACTGATTGGAGCTCGACGCCCAGGCCAGTATTGCTTCTGCGTTGCCGTCTCTTGCTCGATGGCTGCCTGCGTTGGTGGCTCTCGATTGTGCTTAGGTTTTTCCATCGATTTCTCACGAATGGTTGTTCGCAGTGTTTAGGCGGCTGGCATTGCCCCCGCCGCTCCTGTTCTTCCTCGGCGCGCTGCGCGCGCCCCCCTGCTTCGGCGCGACGCCCCCCCCCCCCCGCCCCCCCTCCCCCCTGAAAAGAAAAGGAAAGTTGTGCTTTGCATTATCGGTAGTGGAGTGCTTCAAGGGTGCCCTGGCTTTGGTGTTCTGCATGCTTCGCTGTGGCTTCGATGCTTTGGTGGATCTGGCCCCTCAGCGTTCAGGTCTCCTTCGAGCGTGCGCGGGCGACGCGGGGGGGGGGGGGGCATGGGGCGGGTCATCTTCTGTCCTTCAGGCTAGCATTCGAAATGAGTGCCCGAACTGCTGGTTTGCATCTGGAGACCAAGACATGCGCGATTGTTCATTTGGCCGGCGAATTCACCCCTCGTTCCAGGCAGATGTATCGTGAGCGACCGTTGACGCACGTTCCCGAATGGAGTGCGTTTCGCTTCGGGGCCATGGCCACCTACCTCGGACTTGTCCTAGGATCAGCTGCGGGTGAGGATAGTCGGCGAGCTCCTCCACTGAACTGGGCGCGTCGGATTATCCAGACCTCTTCCTCCAACTGCCCTGCTTCGATTGCTATTTACTTTTTCAATGAGCGATGCTCGTCTATACTCTCATGCGTTGCTCAATCCATGCCCCTCCCAAAGTCGTCTGGATGCCTTTCGTCTTCCACTGTTCGCTGTGGGCTTGCAATGTTTTCTGGTGTGGCTTATTGTTGTATCTCTCGAGCTGGACGGTTTGAGTTGCCTGAATGGGGCGGCCTCAATTCGGGGTCGATTCAGGCTATGTGCGCGAGCTCTATAATTAGCGGCGCTGGTCACGTTCCCCGAATGGCGGATCCTCGTGCGGCGCCTAGACAGCGCTACGATCCACCTGTCCTTGGCCGAAGTCGCTAGCGGAGCCTGGTGCCCAAAGTTTTGGATCGGGGACCCGCTTGCGGTCCATCTGTCCGTCGCAGCTGCTGGATCTCCCTCGGATCAGAAGCTGGCGAATGCTGGTGATGCCGCTCTGGTCGTTTCTCGCTTTCTATTTCCCCCTGCCGCCGCTGCCGCGGCTGCTGCCCCCCCCCCCCGCGTTTCAATCCGGGGCCCCGCTGTTCTTACCAGTCGCAAGTTGCTGTGCTTGCCTAGTCTAAGCCGTCAGTTTGTTGCTCGTTTGAGGACCCTGTGGCCCGAGTTGTCCGCGAACATCCCGCGCGTAGATTGGGTGAGGTATCCAATTCTAATGAAAACTGCCCCTTTTTCACGCCTCGCGAGCGGCATGGACATGTCTAGCGGTCGCGTGGACCACCTCTGAGCGAATGCGCAACCCTCACGTGCCGAGGTGTCGTTGCAGACTGGGCTGCGGAGGCCCCGACTCGTTTAAACACTATTTCTCTATATGTTATCGCTGTCGTCTCCCATGGGCGCGTGTTGTTGACCATGGCCTCCCATCCTGCCCCATCGCTTGTTTCGATTTTCTCGCTGGTCCGCTTCGTCCCACCGTTCTCGATATTCCCACCGCTGCGTTCCTGTTGTGCTCATTCGTTCGCCTTCTCTTTACAATCCAACGGCACTGCGATAGAGGCGCAAATCATGCAACTCGTGCCGCAGGCACGTGCATCCGCCGCGGGCGCGTCGGGCGCGGCTGACCAGAGACACGTGGCGTTCTGCTACGTGCGAGGAGGAGGAGGAGGAGGAGGAGGAGGAGGAATAACAGGAGGAGGAAGAACAGGAGGAGGAAGAGGAGGCTCCGAACCGCGGGCCCTGCCTGCAGATGCGGGGTCCGGCGAATTCGAAAAAGCCGCCTCCTCCCAAAGTGGCCTCCCCCCCCCGCCCGTGCCCCTCCTGGCGCGCCGCGAACACAGTGGAGATGCATGCCAAGAAACACCCTGCTTGCTTCCAGGGTGCCCATGGGTTTCTTGGGCTTCGATGGGTTTGCTATGGGAAACGCGACGTTCCCACGACAGAAATCCATGGGCGTCCCTCCTCCTCCTCCTTGTCATCCTCCTCCTCCTGTTCCTCCTCCGCCTCCTCCTCCTCTTCCTCTTCCACTTCGTGTTTCTCCTCCTCCGCCTCCTCCTCCTCCTCGTCCTCATCCTCATTTTCCTCCCCCTCCTCCTCCTCCTCCTCCTCTTCCTCCTCCTTCTCTTCCTCCTCCTCTCCTCCCTCCTCCTCCTCCTCCTCCTCCTCCTCCTCCTCCTCCTCCTCCTCCTCCTTCCCCCCCTCCTCCTTTTCTTCCTCCTCCTGCACCCTCTCCCCGTCCTCCTCCTCCTGCTTTTCCTCCTCCTCCCCCTCCTTCCTCCTCCTCCTCCTCCTCTCCCTCCTCTCCTCCTTTTCTTCCTCCTCCTCCTCCTCCTCCTCCTCCTCCTCCTTTTTCCCTTCCTTACAGACATCTCCTCCTTGTCGCACCCCGAGGCGTTTTTTTAGGGCAGGCCGGGCGTTTCGCTTGACACTTCCTCACCATTGATGATTCTGAAGCTCAGAAACTGAACAGTTTCACAAATGGAGGGCGGGTCGCTTTCAAAATGTGGTTCTCTTTTTAGCGCCGACCACATTCGGTTTAAACCTTTGCAAGAGTTTCGCTGATCGAGGGCGGGCCGTTTTCAAAATGCGGTTTTCGCTTTAACGCCGCGCACACTCGCATTAAACATTTGCACAATCTTCACGGATCGAGGGCGGGTGGTTTTCAAAATTTGGCTCTCGCCTTAGCGCCGCGCGCATTCTTCTAAACACTTTGCAAGAACTTCACGGATTGAGGGCGGTTCTTTTTCAAAACGTGCCTCTCGCCCCAGCGCCGCGCACATTCTTTTAAACAAATTGCACGAGTTTCACGGATTCCCATAATCAACGCACCAGAAATGGTGTTTTGGAATTCAGGGTTACGCGGGCGCAACAGTTATGTTGATTCGCTTTGTTGAAGTCCCAAAATGGCGGTCTGGCACGGTTCTGGATCGTCAAGACGCAGCAGTCAGGTTGATACGTGGCGTTGAAATCCCGAGAACAATGTTTTGGCACGCTTCAGGATCTTCAAACTGTTGTCTTCCAGCGAGGCAGGTCCCTCAATGGAAACGAACCATTGTAGGGTCCTGTGAAGAGGGAACTTGGAGGGAGGGTCAATTCCAACGTCGTTGATGACTCTTGGGTTTCCAATGGTCCTCCTCCTCCTCCCCCCCTGCCCCTGCCCCCGCGGGCGCGCCGCGAACAGGTGCGGCGCGCCCTGCGGTCACCAGGCCGACCGCTCTGGCGGGCACCACCACCACCACCGCCGCCGCCGCGGGCCCGGCGCCTCGGACAGCCGACCTCGCCGGCGTCTGCAGCCCGGCCGTGGAGCCCGTCGTCCTCGGGCCGCCGCCCATGGAAGAAGAAAAAACGCCGTAAGCACAAACATTCTTGGCGCTCCGCGCGGATTTCTTGGATCCGCGCTGGGGCCTGGGCCCCTCGCGGCGCCGCCCCTGGCTCCGCCCCTGGCGCCGCCCCTGGCGCCGCCCCCGGCGCGCTTCGCGCGCCAGGAGGAGGGCCCGGCGCGGATCCAAGAAATCCGCGCGGAGCGCCACAAGTTTGTGCTTGTGGCGTTTTTCTTCTTCCGGCCCATCTTCGACGTCGCTCGGGACGTCAACGAGCACTGCTTCGACCTCGTGAGCGGGTCCCTCCCGGAGCTCACCCGTGGCGGGAGAGGCCCTCGCCACGGGGGAAAGAGCGGGTCCCGAGGGAAAGCGGGTCCTGAGGTCATTCTCGCCGTTTTCGGGCCCTCGGGGCCTTCCGCGGGCCCCGGGGCTTGTCGGAGAACGACTTCTGATGAAGACCTCGTGTTGGGGGAAGGCCCTCAGGGTCCAGGACCCATTCCCCTCAGGACCCGCTTCTCCCATGCGAGAAGGCCAGCGGAACTGGTGCTGGGTGGGGCTCAAGGCCTCTGGGTGTCACGCGCACCTGTTCGAGCACCTCGGCTGGAGGACCGAGCGGGACATGGCCGTCGAGGCCCAGCTGACGGTCGAGGGAGATTTCGACCCGCTGCAGAACCCCGGCTTGTGTGACCTCCCAGAGTTGGGCGTGGCGCCGGAGTGGAGCAGCGACGAGCTCCAGGAAGCGAGCGAGTGGTTCAATCGAACTGTGTCGGTCTTCGTTCTGAGTCTGCACCCCAGCAAGAAGCGCAGGAAGCTTGTCGAAGAGCAGTGGAGGTTTCTAGGCATCAGCCACACGGTGGTGTGGGGTGTGGATCTGCGAGAGCATGGTGCAATGGACGGCGCGCGCCGGGAGGGCCTCATTCCAGAGAGCTACAACATGACGCTCGCCCAGCTGCGTGCATCGGACGCAGATAACAATATGGGCGTGGATGGCGGCATCGCAGGCACCGTTGGCTGCGCTGCGGGGCACTTCCGGGTTCAGCGTCGTGCCGCTGAGGTTGCTGCGAGGTATCCTTTGAGCGTAATCTTCGAGGACGACGTGAAACCCGCCGATGATTCACTGGCTTACGCCACAGCGCCGACCCTCTAGGGCTCGTGGATGCCGAGATCATCCTTGGTTATCTGACAGCAATTATTTGTGTGTTGCTATTATTCTCCTCTTCCTCCTGTTTCTCTGCCTCCTTCTCCTCCTCTCCCCTCACTCCTTCCGCCCCAGTCCCTTGGATCGTCGACGCTCCTCGATCACTCTCCCTCCTTCTCCTCCTCCTCCCCCTCCTCCTCCTCCTGCTTTCCTCGATCCTTGCTCCCACCGATCTTCGATCGTCAATCGACGATCCTACGACGACGCCGCCCAGAAGACAGGCATCCAGGGTCCGAGAGAGTGAAGACCTGCTCTTTTACGCCTGCGAGGGGCCTCTCGCCACTCGTCCAGCCCCCTCTGTTGGAGTCAACTTGAAGCCGCTTGGGGGCCGTTTGGTAGCCTCCAAGGGGGCTTGTTTGGGCCGCTTGAGTGCCTCTCGGGGCCCTCTTGGGCCGTCTAAGCCGCCTCTTGGCCCGTCTTGGGGCCATCTTGGGCTGTGTTGGGCCCCTCTTCGGCCGTCTTGGGGCCATCTTCGGCCGTCTTGGGCCCCTCTTGTGGCCCTCATGGGCTGTCTTGAGCGCCTCTTGGGCCGTCCCAGGGCCGTCTGTAGCCGTCTTGAGGCCCTCTTGTGGGCCTATCGGCCCGTCTTGGGTCGATCTTTAAGGCCTCTGAGGCAGTCGTGGACGCTGGAAAAAGCAAAGAGGGGGATGTGCATAACATTCCAGTTTTCCGTTCGGGGATGTGGCGGTTTTTGCTTGTTAGGGCCCTCGTGGGGGTCTTCTTGGAGCCCTCGGGTGGCGTCTTGGAGGCTTCTGTGCTGTCTTGAGGTCATCTCGGGGCGATTGAATGCCATCTGGGAGCACGTGGGGGCCATTCTGGATCGTAGAGGAACCCCTAGGAACCATGTCGAAGCCGTCGGAGGCCGTCCAGGAACACTTCTGAGGCGGCCGGGGCCGCCAGCATTTTTGCCCCCCCCCTCCCCCCCCAAGGCTGGCTGGACGGAGCTCCCTGGGGAGGGACTTGAGGAGCGGCAACGGTCTCACACGCAGTAGATCCCAAGGGGTCATCGGATTTCGTGCCTCGGCTCTGGCAGCTTGTGACGAAAGAGCTGCCGTGCGACTGGCAGGTGGTGTCGTTGGCCTCTCGCTGCCCCTTCGGCACCTGCGTATCGCCGCACCTCTCCCGTGTGCAGCCCGACGTCAACGAGCCCGTGGAAAGATGCCACCACGGGGTGAACTATGGTTTCCAGGGCGTGCTTTACCGCGCTGCCGAGATCCCCAACGTCCAGCAGGTATGGCAGCCTGTGGTCTTTGACTCCGAGAGGCCCCACTGCATCGATGTCGATGTGGCGCTGGCCTCGATCTCGGACAAGGTCGCCTTCTACGCAGTGCCAGCATCACAAGATCCAGGCCTGCTGGAGGAGATGTGGGAATTAGGTTCGACAAGAATCAACGTCAACAAGGAGCAGACCATCAGCTGAAATTGGCGATGGTTCTGCTCCATGTCATCATTCGTATCTTTATCATCAAGCGTGCATGTGCTCACTTCACCCTCTCGATCCTCTTCTCTGCTGTGCGGTCAAAGTGCTTTGTCGTGACGCGCTGAGCGCAGCGCACAATTAGGAATCCATATTGTCTTTGGCACCCAGTCGGAGGCCCATGGATGCCGACGGCGCCCCGTGCGGTCCGCGAAGGCGGCGGGCGCAAGAGCCGAGCCCGCGACCGAGCTATGGGAAATCGTGCGCACCAGCCGGAGGGGCAGGATGAGGAATGAAGAGGGAGTAGGGAGGAGTAGGAGGAGGAGAAGGAGGAGGAGGAGGAGGAGGAGAAGGAGGAGGGGGAAGAGGAGAGGAAGAGTAGGGAGGAGGAGGAGGAGGAGGAGGAGGAGGAGGAGGAGGACCAGTGTGATCCCAATGCGCATCAACGATGTTGACCCCCCCCCCTCCAAGTTCCCTCTTCATAGGTCCCTACAAAATTTTATGTTCATTGCTGGAAGTGCCCCATTCATTGAAAGAGCACTGTTTGACAAGCCTCAACCGTGCTGGAACGAACGCCGCGAATCAACGTGTCTGCTGCGTAAATCAACGCCGCGGATCAACGTGACTGTTGCGTCGTGACAAGCCTAAATCGTACCAGAACGCCACTCCGTGGATTTCAACCATGCGAAGACTTGAAACGGTGGTACGCACTCAAGGCGACGAGCCACAGTTAGACAAGCAACCGCCCTCCATCTTTCAACGGTTGCAAACTTTTCAGACGGATGCGCGCGGCGCTTAGGCGAGAGCGACATCTTGAAAACGGCCCGCCCTTCATCCTCGAAGCTGTCGCAGACTTTAAGACACATATGCTCGGCGCTGCGGCGAGAGCCACATTTTGAAAACGACTCGCCCTCCATCCTTGAAGCTGTTGCAAGCTTTGACAACGAATGTGCGCGACGCTGAGGCGAAAACCACATCTTGATATGCTCGGCGCTAATGCGAGAGCCACACATTGTCCACCAGCCCCTTCCATCCCTACATAGAGCTGCTGCAAATGCGCAAGACGAGTGTGCGCGGCGCTACGGCGAGAGCCACAGTTTAAACAAGAACCGATTTCCATCCTTGAAGCTGCTGCATACTTAAGACAAATGTGCGCGGCGTTCAGGCGAGAGCCACACTTTGACAACCGCCTCCTTCCATCCTCAAAACTGCTGCAACTGTTCAACACGAATGTGCGCGGTGCTAAGACGAGAGACACCAGTTCAACAAGAACAGTCTTCCATTTTTGAAGTTGGTGCAAACTTGTAGAACGAATCTGCGCGGCGCTCAGGCGAGAGCCAAATATTGAAAACCGCCCACCTCCATCCATGAAGCCGCTGCCAATGCTTAAGACGAGTGTGCGCGGCACTGAGGCGATATTGTAGTGGCCTCGGGCCAGTGCCGCCCATCCGGGGTGCTACCGATTCTGCTTGCAACGGGTGACTTTTTTATGCTTGAGAGTAAAGCACTCGCTCGAGACACCTCATAAGATAGAGATGTTGAACTCGCTTGGGCAACCTCCGGATATTCGAAAGTGACGATCTCGCGTGAACAGCCAAACTCATGGGATGTTGACGTAGCTGATGTATGACACCTTTTGGGGGCGTTCCTGGGCTTCTCGTGAGGCTTTTTGGAGGCATCCTGGAGACTTCTTGGGGGCGCGCTGTAAGAAGTTTTTGATGGGCCCTTCTTGGGCCGTCTGGGAGCCCTCTTCGGGCGTGAATGGCGTCAGCCATGGCGTCGGCCGTCCACCCCCCCCCTCCTCCTCTCCCGAGCCTGAATGGCGTCAGCCGTGGCGTCAGATCCCCCCCCCGACAGAGTGAAGCTTGAGCGAGCCCCCTCCCCCTGCCTCCTCCCAGGCCTGAATGGCGTCAGCCATGGCGTCAGCCCTCCCCCCCTCCCCCCCGACTCCCCCCTCCCGGGCCTGAATGGCGTCAGCCATGGTGTCACCCCCTCCCCCCTCGTCCCCCCTCCAGGGCCTGAATGGCGACAGCTATGGCGTCAGCCCCCTCCCCCCCGACAGAGCGAAGCTTGAGCGAGCTCCCCCCCCCCCCCCGTCCCGGGTCTGAATGGCATCAGCCATGGCGTCCCCCCCCCCCCCCCCCGACTCTCTCCTCCCGGGCTTGGATCTCCCCCCCCTCCCCTCCCCCCCTTGGGCTTGGATGGCGTCAGCTGTGGCGTCAGCCCCCTCCCCCCCCGACAGAGCGAAGCTTGAGCTAGCTCCCCCCCTCCCCCCTCCCGGGCCTGAATGGCGTCAGCCATGGCGTCAGCCCCCCCCCCCCCCCTCCTCCCTCCTCCCGGGCCTGAATGGGCTCATCCCGGGGGGTCAGCTATGGCGTGAGCCCTCCCCCCCGACAGAGCGAAGCTTGAGCGAGCTCCCCGCCCCCCTCCCCTCCCGGGCCTGAATGGCGTGAGCTCCCCCTCCTCCCCCTTTCCCGGACTGAATGGCGTCAGCCCCCCCCCCCCCCGACTCCCTCCGGGGCCTGGCTGGTGTCAGCCATGGCCCCCCCCCCTCCCGGGCTTGAATGGCGTCACCCTGGCCAATGCTTAAGACGAGTGTGCGCGGCGCTGAGGCGATACTTACATGTTGAAGATCACCCGCCCTTCATCCCTGGAGCAGTTGCACATTTCCCCCCCAGGATCATTCGGAAGTCTCCGCTGGGCCGCCCAGCCCGCTCAACCGACACGTTCGGGGCTGCGGCAGGGAGGAGTCATTTACCAGGAAAAAATATGGAGGAGAGGAGGAGGAGGATGAGGAGGAGGAGGAGGAGGAGGAGGAGGCGGAGGAGGAGGCGGAGGAGGAAGAGGAGGGGTAATTAGGAGGATGAGGGAGGAGGGAGACGGGGGAGGGACCAGTCCTCCCCCACGCCGCTTCCCATGAGTTTTCGGTGTGCGTGTCCGCGCCTTCTGTCCTGCAGCCCCCACCTGGTCCCACTGGCGCTGGCGAGTCTGGCGGCGCGCGGTCGTAGAGGCGCCCAAGTCTCGCCTCGCGCCCGGGAGCGCTCAGGCATTCCCTGAATTGGGCATCTGGGGTCGTTCAAGAGCATATACAAAACTCAACGTTGAGAATTCGATTCGTTCCGTAGTAAGTTTGGCTCAAGCCCCGCTTTGTCTCCAGCAGCACGTCTTCGCTATGGACGCAGTGTTGGTGCCAGGCGATGGAGTGGAGCTTCGCAGCCTCGCCGCAAGACCAGAGCTCAACGGGCGTGTTGGAAGGCTCCTTTGGTTTGCCGATGGCCGTTGGGTTGTGGAATTGGAGGCGTCTGCACCTGACTCAGCCACGCGCAGGGGGGGTCGGGGGAGGGGGGAGGGCTTCTTAGAAGCACCCCTGCTTCTTAAAAGGCGCGGGCCTGATCTATAAACGTAAGGCTGGCGCCTTCTAAGAAGCAGCCTTCTTCTAAGAAGCCTTCCCCCCCTCCCTCCACACCCTCTTGCGCGCCGCCAACTGACACCACAGATGAGCGCATCAAGATCAAGCCTGCGAATCTGAAGAGGATACAGACATCTGAGAATTGGTCGCTGAAGCTCAACAGGCAGGCCGTGGCTGCGCAGAGGGCGGAAGACCACCGTGCCGCTGAGAGGACGTGGACCAAGGTGCTGGACGTCATCTCAACAAGTGGGCGGGGAGACCAGGTCAAAGTCTTGCATGGAAACCGCGCGTCAGCACGGCTTAGATTGGGTGATGCCAGTGGCGCGCTGGAGGATGCCGAGCGCTGCGTGTCTCTGGACATGACCTGGGAAAAAGGCTGGGTGCGAAAGATCGATGCCTTGGAGGCGCTCGGGCGCATCACGCAGGCCTACGATGTGGCCCTGGACGCTTCGAAGTGCTTGGGGAAAGATTCGCAGGAGCAAGTGGGAGAACGCAAGAATCGTTTGGCTGCTTGCCCTGAAACACAAGGTTTTCTGCGAGATACTTGCCCACATCGAGGGATGACATTCTGTTGCGCATGCAACGCACTTCAGGACGACCGCCCGGACAAGTCGTTTCTAAAGTGTGGGACGTGCAGCATGGTGTTCTATTGCGACACGGCTTGTCAGCGCAACGATGCTTCGCAGCATTCGCGTTCTTGCCGAGACTTGCAAGCTGTGCATGTCTTCGACGGCCTGCATTCGGCTGGCCGTTTGTTGTATGGTTGTGCGGACGACGCAGGGCAGTTGTGGGAGGGGGGGGGTACCGCATCTTGATTGATGGTCGGCGACGTTTCGAGTTTCCTCATTTTGCGTGTGACCTCTCTTCTTCGGCGAAAGGCATTCGTAGCATTGATGATTGGGCTGCGTTGGTCACATCGAACTCGCATCGCTGGGAGATGGACCCCGTCAGCAAGGTTCTCACCCCACAGAAGTTCAGAGACATCATGTCTGGAAAAGACATCAGCCCCGAAGATTTGATTGTGCATAAGCTTGCGACAGAGGTGGCCTCGTACCCTTTGACGCTTCATCATGCGCTTCGCAAGTTCGAGCTTCCAGGCTCCAAGGCCGTACTGGTGGTTCACATCATTGGAGCAGAGGCTCCATGCGAGGGCGAGTTGATGGAATTGCTGCAGTCGATCATGCACTCACTTCTCGCTGGGACAATGCTTATGATTATGACAATTGGACCACTCAACGGCGCGTCTGCGACCCCAGATTCTGACGCGCAGAGGTTCCAAGCACTGCTCCGACGACCAAATCCACGAATAGCCATCTGCTTCAGCTTCAGAGGCGCGTATGACGAGTTTCTTAAGAGTAAGCTGTACTCCCCCCCTGACTTTGTCATGGCCTTCCATGGTGGCTTCAACGATGGTACGTATCCGTGGTGGCCGACGCTGCAGTTCTTGCTCCATGAGGACGTTCCGCTTGCAGTGACGTGCTTTTCAGACGAGGACTTGGCTTCGACACAGGAGCTGATCACACAGAATCCGCTGTTCAAGCCTAGGGTAGTGCTGAGTGAAGCAGGCACTTCGAATCCATTCGCCTCGCGCTTTCTGAGACCCCTGGTCGATGGCCAAAATGACATGAGGGCGCGTAACATGCATCTACTGTGCATGCGTGGCATCGAGCGGTGGTTTCCGAAGAAGAGCCCTGTGTTCGATGGTGCGCACACCGAGCTCATGACTCTGGTGACCCTGTGTTCCCTTCAGCAGGACTTGCACATGCCGGAAGCGGACGCATACATCATCAAGAAGAGAGCCAGGAGTTACGTCGCTTTCACCGCAGCGCTTGAGAAGATACGGCCTTGCCGTCGGCAAGACGGCTCTGGACTCATCTCCACGCTAGATCCTGAGAAGTGGAAATCGATGATGGCTGAGCTCGAGGAGTGACCATCTGGAAGTACGCACCATGCCTGGCGATGGGCCCTTACCCTGTGCAGCCTCGTGCTGCGCATGGCGTTGTGATCCGCGCGAAGAAAGTGCCAGATGTTGAGAATTCGATTCGTGCTTCGCGAAAAAATGGCGGATACGGTTCCGCTCATGAAACATTGTCCCTGCTTGTTGGTTGTCTGGTGGTCCACGCCCATAGGGTGCTGGCGTGAGTTGCCGCCGCATGTCCATGTGTTAGTGCTTGCCCACGGGTCCCAGTTTGAGTTACCCCGTCTGTTGGTTTTTCATCAGTTACCCATCGGGTTCCGCACACAGAGTCCCAGCGTTAGATGCCCAATTTGCCTTGTTGACTGTCTGGTGAGGTGTTCGCATTCGCACAGGCTTAGCTGTGGAGCTATCTCTTGCTCTCATTTAGCTTTGGCCTTGGCGCGAGCAGGAACACTAGTGAAACACCATGGGGATCCGTTGGAGACTGCGGCGGGATGTTCGGATCTTGCTTTGGCAGCGTCACGGCAGGGCATCCGAGGACACCAGCTAAAGAGGAGAAGGATGTGGAGGACGGTGGTCAAAAGGAGAAGGATGATGATGCTGCGGATTCTGATGGTGGTGATGATGATGATGATGATGATGATGATGATGATGATGATGATGATGATGATGATGATGATGGAGACGATGATGGTGATGCTTATGGTGATGGGGATGATGATCATGATGGCGATGTTGACGACGTCGATGCTTGATGGTTAAAACGATGCTGCTGCTGATGTTCATGATAGTGATAGTGATGCTGATGCTGATGCTGCTGCTGATGATTATGATGCTGGTGGCGGTGATGATATTGTTGATGGTGATGCTGCTGATGATGACGCTGGTACATCACGTTGTTGCTGCTGATGATGATGTGAATGATGATTGTGCTGATGACGATGCTGATGCTGATGCTGATGTTGCCGATGCTGATGACGATGACTATGACGAATACGACGACGATGAAGATGACGATGATGCTGATGATGATGCTGAAGCTGATGGTGATTGTGATGATGCTGCTGCTGCTGATGATGATGATGATGAGGAGGAGGAGGAGGAGGCGGAGGAGGAGAAGGAGGACGAGGAGGATGTGCGCGCATTCCGCTTGCAGCAGTGTCAGCTCAAGGCTGCAGCTATGCCTGCGCCAAGCCTGCCCTGATGCAGAGCCCGTGGAATGCCCTGACGAGGTGAATGCTCCAGCAGGAGCCTTGTTAGGAGGGAGGCGGGAGGAGGGATGGACGAGGGGGGCGAGGGAGGGAGGGAGGGAGGGAGGCAGGGATCGAAGGAGTGAAGGAGGGGGGTACGGAGGGATGGAGAAAGGAGGATGGATGGAGATGTCCGAGTGTCGACGCTGGACACAACTTCCGGATTGTTGTAACATGCGTTCAGAGCAGAGCATCACAGGGCGGAGGCTGCTTCGGGCTTCGGTTGAGCTTGGCGCACTCCTTCGCCTCTCCTGTGTCACCCTTTCTCCTTTCCACCCTTCACCTCCTCCTCCCCTCCTCCCTCTTCCTCCACCCCTCCACATCTTCCCTCCTCCCCTCTTCCTCCACCCCTCCACCCCACCTCCCTCCACTCCTCCTCCACTCCTCCCTTTTCCTCCACCCCTCCACCCCTCCTCCTGTGTCTTCCCCTCCTTCATGCCCCCAGCTGAGGGTGCGCCCACCACACAGGAAGAGGACGGGACGCCATTCAGAGACCTACCCATCGCTGCCGATATTCGGCCATAGGCCTCGATGTTTAAATGCCCCGTTCCCCCAAGCGGACCTGAGTGAGGGGGACCGAAGCCATGTATACATGTACAGCTGCAGATTTGTGCACTCCTGCGCATCTATTTATGGATGCGCGTATGTGGACGCCAGCGGGACTTTCGGCCGATGTAAATCAACTTGAGGTGCTGCGGTCGGCGCTACGGGGGAGCGCGCCGAGCTTGGCCGAGATGGGGGCCCTGGTGAGGCCCGAAAGCCTTCGGGTTTCCCGTCTTCGCCCCAGCGATCAGCGCCAGCGTTGAGAAGTTAGGGCCGCGCGCATATACATAAACACAGACATGACTATTTTCTATAACGTGTACATACACGTGCACACATGTACACAACTATACAGTTGTGTATATGAGTACGATTGAGTGGGTTTCGAACAGGAGTTTTGTCCAGTAGTGCTCGCAGACAGGGAGGGGAAAGCGATGCCACCGCAAAGAGTGGCTCGAGAGATGGCGTTTTAGAGAGACAGGCCATGGCGAGCCCATCTCCGACGCCCCGCCCCGAGGACAGGCGGCGTGGACACATATGGCGCCTGGGCCTCGCGCGCCGAGCTGGGCCTTCTCGCGTTGGCGCCGCTGGCGGCATGGCTGGGCTACTGCGCCGAGAAGGGGCGGGCGAGGCTCGGGTGGGCCGCGGCCTCCTTCTGCTCCGCCGTCGCGTTGGCCTGGCGGAGCGGCCTGCTGAACTGGGCCCTGGTGCCCTTCCCCCTAAAGGTGAAGGGCGAGACTAGCGCGGTCGAGGCCTTGTGGGCCGAGCTCGCAGCGTTGCGGCTGGCCACGAGCGCCGACGGCGACGGGAGAGTCGGTGCCGATGGCGGCGGCGCGGGGCCCTTCAGCTGGGACGCCCCGACAGGTTCCCCTCCCCCAGGGATCGCGCCGCCGTGTCCCCCACCCGCGAGCGCGCCGCAGGACACTTGGAGGGCCTGGCGGCGGCTGGCCCGCCCCCGCGGAAGCTGCGGCACTGGCGGACCTGGCTTAGTGGTGTGGCGGAATGGCAACATCGTCCACTGCCGAAGGCACGGCCAGAAGCAAGGCGGCGGCGTGTACGCGCCTTTGCAGGACGGCGGGCCGACCAGGGCGTGCGCGACGCAGGTGCAGGCGCTGGCTGGCTGGCTACGCGGCGGCGGTTCGGAACGACCCACAGTGGGCGCACCGCTTCTGGAACGCGGTGGCGGACCTGGACAAGAGCGGGGTGCTGGTACCTCGGGCGCGGGATTCGGCGCTGCTTCAGGGCGAGGTCGGCGCCGCGCTGGAGGCGATGACGCAGCCCCTGGCGGCGACGGTAGGAGGAAATGCCGACATGAGGTGGGCCGCTTCGCTCCCGCCCGACATGCATCGGGCGGCGCTGGAGATCTACCGGGCCATGCGCGCCGGGGGCAGTTGCGGAGCTCGCGATTGGCTGAGCCTTCGCTACACGAGCAGCAGGAAGAGCGCTACCTGGACCGACACGTGGACGATGACGACAAGCATCGACTTCAGTTCGCGCGCCTGCCAGGATACGACTTGCTCGAGCTGTCCCTCAGGAGGATCGCCGCTTGCATCAACAAGGCCAGGAGCAGCGACAAGATGAAGGCGGCCCACATGCTCCGCACCCCCTTGATGGCATCGCCCCCGCGTGGCTTGTGCAGACGGTCGCCAGCCACAGACAGCTAGAACATTACAGACAGGAGCGTGCAGAGGCGGAGCTTCGACCTCGCATGAGATCCACCAAGGGCGACGGCAAGCACAATAATACAGACAAGAAGGGCCGAGGTGGAGGAGGCGGCAACGCGGCCGCCGCAGGGCAGTGACTAGGCCCGCCTGCGCGTCGGGGAGTGCCGCGCCCAGGGTTCGTTTCGACTCCTCCGATTCGATTCGATTTCGATGGCTTCCGATTTCGATTCGATTCGCCTTGGGGTTCCGATTTGGGTTCCGATTTCTGATTGGAGGCCTGCTAGCCTGCCGATTTCCACCGATCCGACTTTTCCCGACTCGGCTGCCGACTTCCGCCGATCCGATTCATTTCGATCGCCGATCCGACTTGTCGATTCGATTTTGGGTTCTCCTCAGTCCCTGCGCCCCTCGCGCGACAGGGGCGCAAGCATGTGGGTGCGCCCGTGGAGCACCCAGGCAAGACCGCCATGAGGAAGGTGATGGAGGTGATGGGCATATCCGAGAGGTTCTCGCCCGTGCGTCTGATCCCTCGGCCGAGGGCACCCAGCGCGAAGTCAGCGCTTTCGAGCCGCATGCGCCGCAGGTGCCGCTCCAAGCTGCAGGCATGGGGGCGGGCCAACCAGTTTCTCCGCGGGGTGAACTCGGCGCGCGGGCGACTGTCGGGGAATCTCGCGCCGCCATTTTGTTGGATCTCTCGCGTCGACGACCCAGGCGGCGATCGAGCGTTCGCGTCGCGCGGCTCCTACGAGAGGCGTAGCGCCCATGTCAGGCGCGCCAGGATTTCGATCCGACTGGCGCCCGAGCCTCGCTTGCGGCGGCGGGGCCGTGAGTCCGCGACCCGCGCGGGCTTGAAGGCCTTGTCCGTGGACGCGCTGGTGAGCGACATGAGGGTCGTGATGTTGGGTGCCCTCGACTTGGGGGGGCCGGCTTTCTACCGCGAAGGGCGGGGCGCCATTGCCGACCCCATCCACCGCGGCCAGGTGATCTTCAAAGAGCTGGAAAAGCAGCGCGGCCTCTTGGGCGGCGAGCACGGTGAGCGCATGGCATGCCTGAACAGGCCAGAGCTCATCAGACGAATGTGGAAGTTTGCGACGGGGGGCGAGGTCAAATCCGCGGCAGGTCTCACCGTGGCCCCGAAGAGATCGGGATACAAACGGAGATATACATTGATGACTTGCGCCTTCAACTACATGGCTCGGGAAGTTCAGGGGCGAGAGGGGCGCGGTCTACGTGGCGGCGGCGCCCCGCTGCGACTGCGCGCGCCAGTCGGCGCCATGGCCGGGGCGGCGCTGGGCGAGCCCGATGCTTTCCCATGCGTGGAGGTGCCGAGCTGGACGCGGCCGCAGCTCGTGAACTCTCTCGCGGTCGCCGCCGACGCCCGGGGGTTGCTGAACTACGATCTGCGCGTCGAGGCGGGCCCCCGAGGTTGAGCGCGCCCGCTGCGTGCTCGCCTCGTGATGGCCAACTCCCACTCGGTCCGCGTCCTGGCGGGCATCGACGCGAGGGTCATCGGCGCGACGCTGCACGGGCACCTGAACATCGGGAGGGCGGAGGCCTTCGACTCGGCAGAGGAGCGCGAGCTCTGTGCGGGAGGCGCAGACGAGCAGTGCGTCGAGCGCCGGGCGGAGAGCCGCCAGGCGCAGGCATCTTCCGACGACCACGCGGTGGGGGGGCGGTGCGACGCAGCGCGGGCTGC